ATTTTCCTCTTCCACCTGTCTTTGTGGTCTGTCCTCCTCAGGATCCTGAACTCAGCTTAATAGTACGGGTGCCATTCATAATGCTTTAATGTTACTATCCTGGTCTAGAAATGAAATATCTGTGAACACTGTTTATTGGGGGTAATGTACAGTGTCAAGTTCCAAACCACTGATAAAGAAACTGTTGCTAGTGGACTGAATTCCTAACTATACAGCTACCAGTCCAAAACATCAGAATATTTTTATTTGGTAAAAGTAAATATATACTCTTAATTCAATAAAACGCATTAACATATACAATACATGTATCAACATTATGAGGGGAGAAAGTCTCACAACTGCTCTAGTGAATTCCAAATTCGGATGTACACAAAAATAATCAAAACCTGGAAGTGTCATTTAAGACAGTTCTAAGAGTCAAGGATGTTATTTATATTCATCAAATTCAATTATGCAAATGGTAGTGGTGCAAAACAAGATATTCTAATATTGTCAATTCAAATACTTATTTTATCAGTCAAAAAAAAAAAAAAAAAACAACCCCCAAAATCTCAGTGACTTAAAATAACAAAGCTTGGATAAACAAGATGTGGTATAACCATACAACAGAACGTTATTTAACCATAAAAAAGAATGAAGTACTAATCATGTCATAAACATGAATGAACCTTGAAAACATTTCACTAAACTAGTTAAACCAGACACAAAAGGCCACATATTCTCTAATCCCATTTCTACAAAATGTTCAGAATAGGCAAATCCACAGAGACAGAAAGTAGATTAGTGGTTGTCAGTAGCTGCTAATGAGTACTGGATTGTTAGTCTGGGGTGACTAAAGTTTTCTAAAGTTAGTGGTGATGGTGACTTTGTGACTATTTTAAAAACCACTAAGTTGTACACTTTTAACTAACTGCTTTTCTCTTGCTGCTTTTAAGATTCTCTTTGTCTTTAACTTTTGGCATTTTAATTATGATGTGTCTTGGTGTGGGCCTCTTTGGGTTCATCTTGTTTAGAACTCTCTGTGCTTCCTGGACTTGTATGTGTGTTGCCTTCACCAGGTTAGGGTTTTTTTTTCGTTATTTTTTCACAGAGGTTTTCAATTTCTTGTTCTCTCTCTCTCTCTTCTCCATCCTGTACCCCCATGATGCAAATGTTGGTACCCTTGAAGTTGTTCCAGACTCCTTATACTATCCTCACTTTTTTGGATTCTTTTTTTTTTATTTTTTTGCTGTTCTGATTGGGTGTATACTGCTTCCTTATCTTCCAAATCTCTGATTTGATCCACTGTTAATACCTTGAAATGTATTCTTCATATCAGGTAGTGTAGTCTTCATTTCTGACTGGTTCTTTTTTATGTGTTCTATTTCCATTTTTGTTTCCTATCTCTTTGTTGCATTTTTTACTAAGTTCATCTACTGTTCTAAGTTTATTGAACATCCTTATAACCACTGTTTTGAACTCTTTATCTAGTAGATTGCTTGTCTCCATTTTGTTTCATTTATTCCCCCTGGAGTTTTGTTCTGTTCTTTCATTTGGGACATGTTTCTTAGTCTCCTTGTTTTGGCTGCCTCCCTGTAGTTGTTTCTATGTATTAGGTAGAGTTGCTATGTCTCCTGGGCTTGGTAGTGTGGCCTTATGTAGTAGGTATCCTATAGGGTCTAGTGGCACAGCCTCCGTGATCACCTGAGCTGGGCATTCCAGGTGCTGCAGTTCCCAATCTGCTGCCACCCCACCCCCACAACTGTGTGGGCTGTGTACACTCTCCGGGTGTAGTAGTGGTCTGAAGCTGTCCACTGGGTACGCTGGCTCTGGGGCTTCCTGGTAGGTGCAGGCCAAGGTCATCTGCCACCTGATCCCTGCCTGGGGCCACATGGCATGAGCTACAAAGTGATCTGCAGATGGCTGCTGCTTGTGCTTGGCTTGGAGGTGCCCGGGAGAGACCAAGCTGTGAATGAAGGCCAGCTGCCACTAGTGCTGGGACTGGGCTCACTTAGCAAGAGATACCCGGCATGCCGAGGCCAGGTGCTGCCTGTTTGAGAAAATTTTGGAAAAGTCTGAAGCATGTGCCAAGACAGGCTATTTGCATGGAAAAAACACTGGAAACTGGTTTCTTTTGCCACTACTTTTCCTCCCTTCCCTTTCCTTAGAGGGGACATTCTACTTGTCTGTTAGGGTTTGCCCAACTTTTAACTTCACAATTTCTGATAGGCTTAATTAATCACTTTCTCCTCTTTTCTTCTCTATCACTTTATTTGTACTACTCCTATAGTCCTTAGTTTAGCACTTTGTCATATATTTAGTTACCAAGCAAGATGTCACCTTTACAACACTGAGCTTCTTGAGCGTAAGAATCCTTACTCTATAGGTTTCCCTTAGTCTCTCACAGTCTTGAACCAAGTTAAGTATGTACTCATTGATAAATGTACTGGTCATAATGCTATTGACCAAATGCTTCCAAATCTTTTCCTTCGGGTACATGATAGAAGGACTTTTCTATTCCATTGAAGTTAGACTTGGCCAAGTGTCTGTGAATTGTGAGTGAAAGTGAAGTATGTAGCCCAAAATCTGAAGCTGTGTAATTTTCCATGTTTTCTTAACCTCCTGTGTTCTAGTTGGTGGAGGTTCCCTTAACCTGGGTCTCTGAGTAAGTGTGACATGAAATAAACCCTCAAGATGGCATGTAACATGAGTGAGAAAGAAAACTTTGCTATACATTTTCTCTTGATTTTTTAGTCCATTTAATGTTTTATTTTAATTAAGAAATAATTCACATACCCTAACACATCATAATTAAAATGCCAAAAGTTAAAGACAAAGAGAATCTTAAAAGCAGCAAGAGAAAAGCAGTTAGTTATCTACAAGGGCGCTCTCATAAGACTGATAGCTGATTTCTCAACAGAAACTTTGCAGGCCAAAAGGGATTGGCACAAAATATTCAAAGTGATGAAAAGCAAGGAGCTGCAACCAAGATTACCCAGCAAAAGTATCATTTAGAATTAAAGGACAGATAAAGAGCTTTCCAGACAAGAAAAAGCTAAAAGAGTTCACCACCACTAAACCAATATTATAAGAAATGTTAAAGGGTCTTCTTTATGAAAAAGAAAGAGCCCTGGCTGGATTGGCTCAGCAGTTAGAGCAACGGCGTGCAGACCAGAGAGTCCCGCCCGGGTTTGGTTTCCGCTAAGGGCACGTATCTTGGTTGTGGTCTGTCCCTGGCCCCAGGTGGGGTCGTGTGGGTGGTGACCACTCGATGTGTCTCTCTCACATCAATGTTTCTCTCTTTCTCTCCCTCCCACTCTGAGGATAAATGCAAAAATGTCCTCGAGTGAGGATAAAAAAAAAGATAAAAAATATTAATAATTAAATGGCAATAAGTACTTACCTATCAATAATTACTTTAAATGCAAATAGATTAAATGCTCCAATCAAAAGAACTATGGAGGCTGAATGGATAACAAAACAAACTCCTACATACGCTGTCTACAAGAGACTCACTTCGGATTGAAAGGCACAAACTGAAAATAAAGGGATGGAAAAAAGATATTTCATGAAAATAGAAACATATAAAAAGCTGGGGTTGAAATACTTAGAACAGACAAAACAGATCTAAAAAACAAAATAAATGAACAAGCAGAACAGAAACAAACTCACAGATACAGAGAATATGAAGGTTGCCAGAGGGGAGGGGGGTGGGGGGGAGGGGTAAAAAAAGTGAAGGGATTAAGAAGTATAAACTGGTAATTACAGAACAGTCATTAGGATATGAAGCACAGCATAGGAAATATAGTCAATAATATTGTAAAACTTATGTATAGTGTCAGATGGGTACTAGATTTATCAGGGTGGATCACTTCGTAAATTATATAATGTCTAATCCCTGTGCTGTATATCTGAAACTAATATAATATTGCATGTCAACTGTAACTAAAAAATATAAAATTATTTAAACTAAAAAAAAACTTAAGTAAATCATTCAAAGCTATAATGCATAGATCATGGGTTTCATTTGCAATTAATGTACAATGCCTAGGCACTAAATATATTTGTTAAATGAAAAAGATCTTGCATTTAGTGGTAAAAACATGAAGAAAATATTTCACACTAACAACAGGAAGAGTATATATCTGGCTGTGATAAACAATGCTCCGGCTAAATATTTTTTTAAAGGTGCTTAGTGCAACAACAGTTTGGGCTAAATAAGACTAAGATATCTCAGTACACAGGTAAGTAAGGAACAATATCCAAGCCCAAAGCATGCCCCAGCACTTTCTAGAAACTGTGGATATTTCAGAATTGCTGGAATAGTTCCCAGTGTGGTGTGGACCCCGGTAAGTTATTACTGGGTGACTTTCCTATACATCATGTTACTTCTATACCAAAACTAAAATGTGATCAGGCCCTAGCATAAAAATAGTACTTGACCTTCAAGCACTAGAAACTTTACTGAGGCAGAGAGGGGTAGAATGGGAATCAAGAGACCAAGTGATTCCTTACACAGAATATTTTCTGCAACTTCCCCCAGATTTCACAGCCAGGATGTTCATCTATAAAGGGTTTATTAACATAAACTTTGTTTATTAACAAAACATTGACTTCAGTTGTTTATATTAGTAAATTTTAGAAACTAGTAGGCAAACTACTCTTCAAAGATAATTTTTTTAAAGTTTCAGAAAAAAATTAACATATGTATCTTTATATGATAAATGCCACTAAATACTAAAGTTAACAGAAAAAAAAATAAGGTTTTAAATAAAAGAAATATTCACATGGCAATAAATGAATGAAAGTCTGAAATACAGTCAATCTAAAAATTTCCAAAATTTATGTCAAAATTTTTAAATAATCTATTACAGAGATTAGCTAATTTGGTCAACATAGAAAATATTTATCAATTTATATCATACTCTAATTGACAAGCCTCCAAAGGTATATAACACAGGCTATTTCCAACCAGTCAGAAAATCCCAAGGAAGTAAAAAGCAATAAAATCAGCTCTTTACCTGCAGCTCCTTTGAGACTCTCTCTAAGTGATTAGTTATCTTTTTAATCAGATCACTGTACATCTGTTCTGAGTGCTGCTGGCATACACATTTATACACACAACTGTGGGGGGTGGGAAACAAAACAGAATGACCAAGTTAATGATGAAGCATGTAATTCAGCCTAAGGTTAAAGCAAACTCTGGATATACAGCCACTGGCCAAATAATCAATTCAGGCCTAAAAACAGTGACTAATCACAACTTTAAACAGAAATTTATCCTGCCCCAATCAGTGTTCAGATGGAAGAGGTATTACCACCAGCAACAAATAATCTTTTTGGATACTCTACATTTTATCAGTACTAGATAATCTAATATTTGATGATAATCTGAGAGTCTGACTATGGTAACTACTTACAAACCAGCTTCTCTCTCGTTTTAATGAATGTCAAAATAAGGAAGAGAGAGTGATAATGGGCAGAAAGTTTCTAACTCACAAAAACATTTGCAGTGTATGCTTCACTTGTGTGGAACAACTCAGTTGTCACTTCCTCCTCTTGTGACTGGGCTGATCTCATACCCCACCCCAGTTCCTCACTAATTTGCTGCTTCCATTTACCAGAAGCTGGGAAACAAAATAACCAGAGAGTTATTTTGCCTTTTTTTGTGGTGACCTCCATAGTTTCTGTATTATATATGGCAGGGGTGGCAGGCTGAGGTGGTGGTGGGGGGGAGGATCTAGTCAAGTGGGATTAACTCGATCTTAATTTGAAAGCCAATTCTGAACCAAAAAGTATAAATCAAACCTCCCATCCACAAGTGTGTAATATATAAATAACTTACAGAGCCTCATCTTATGTATCATATATTATATGCATACATACTGTCATAATTCCAGTTGCTATGAACCTCAACACGCCCTCTCAAACCCAGGGGAGTTAAATCTTGACTTACCTGTATATCTGTTCATAGGATATGGGGATATAGTCACCAGGACTCTGGGTTAAAAGCTGATCTATGGCACCATCCAATTTTGGCCAGTATGTGCTCTTATAATCTTCAATAGTTATAACATTCATTACTAAAAGTAAAAAGTAAAATAAATATTACTATTGTCACATGTAAACAGAAACTATAGCAATTTTCCACCCTCAGTCAAATTTATTTTTTATTTCATGCTGACACTCTAGATCACTTAAATACAACTCAATTACTCTCCCATTTCCAATGGGAAAAAAAAGTCACCTGGTCAGGGATTTTAAACAGCCATTAATTATGATTTTAAAAGGAATACTATGAATCTGTCCTTTTGTTTTGTTTTTGTCTCTTTTAAATCTGTCCACATTTTAAAATAAAAACAAAACAAGCAAATATCACTGGTTTCCTTTCCTGGTTTCTCTAAGCTTCTGTTGTCAGTGGAGCTTCTCAAATATGCACTGAACTTCAAATATACATTGTTAATGATGTAAAAAGCTGGCCCATCTATGAATCACAGTAAGGTTCTGAGACACCCCTGGGAAAATCTACCTAAGCATATGACTATGAAAATTAAAGTCCAAATACTAAAGTAACAAACGAGGTTACTAGAAACCTGCAGAGATATATTGCACCACCAGTGCCCCCTAGACGTTACAACTGTGACTGAGGCTCTCAGGATCTTGCCCTTTGGATAAGCCCAACAGAAAAAGAGCGTAGATGAACTGGAGTCTTCTACTGAAGGCTTACCTCATTCTCACTAGCTACTTATTCCTTCACTCCAGGTTTAATAAAGCATTTATCACAGCTGGTCCTAACAACTTTGAAATTCAAGGGTGACAGCTATTTCACAGCAGTGAAATGAAGCTAATGTTAAAAAGAACTACCCAAAGCCTCTAAGACATCTTATGTCTTATGAACCGCCACTACCTCAGGAGATCAGAACTAACAACTACTAGATCCAGTACTTTATGTTTTACCAGAAACTGGGGAGCAGAGGGTTGACTTCCCCCAAGATTTTGCTAATTACTGGCAGAGGTACCAAATAAAACAAAGCCTTTACCTAGTTTCTTTTTATCACATTAATTATTTCTAAACACAGTCGTCACGTCCATCATTTGTCGCGGTTAATCCGTTCCAGACTCTAGCAGTTGCGCCTGGCGTTGAAGGATTCCTGGGGTGCTTGAATACAAAGGCCCACAGTCCATACGTACAGTAATTTTAATTTTAATTGTAACACAGGGGTGTATAATTGACTCAGACAACCGAGCGTGCGCTGTATCATTTTCACTGTCTCGATCAACTTTTTAATGAATATATTTGAAAAAACCGAGATAGAGTGAAGCCGCGAAAAGTAGAAGCGCGAAGTGGTGAAGGACAGTCCTTCAGATTCAAGTTGTTTCTCATCTATGTACCTACATCATTTTTGTTCAATATTTTCTTTAAATCAATCCACTTATTTTGCTTAAATAAATTTATTTAAAAGGACACAAGGAATGAACTGTTTATTTACACAACATGGAATAATCTTTAATGCATTTTGCTAAGTGAAAGATCAAACCAAGAAGGCTACATATTGTAAGAGTCTCACTTATATGACACTAATCAAGGCAAAGCTATATGGAAGAAAACAGATCAGTGGTTGCCAGGGGCTGAAAGGGGGGGAGGTCTGTCTATAAAGGGGTAACATGGGGAAACTTTTAGGACAAAGAACTGTTTCGTATGGATACACCACCCTCTGTACACCATAAAAGTAAATTTACTGTATGAAACAATTTTAAAATCAGCCAGGATGTAGTAGTAAAGATGGACTACAAACTGTGATGAATCTAACTTACACATGAATCTAAATTACACATAAAGGGAAGGGGAGAGAAAGGAATGTTTCTACTACATATAAAGCTAAAAACAAAAGGAACTGTACATGGGAGAGCTCGCATGCATGCACACACACACACACACAGAGACAGAGAGAGAGAGAGAGAGGGAGGGAGGGAGAAGAAAGAAGCCAAATCACACAGGACCTTATGGACCATCGTAAAGATTGTTGCTTTACGCTGAGTTAAAGGAGGGTTTTGAGAGAGAAGTGATCTGATCTGACTCAGGTTTTCTATGGATCATTCCAGGGGCTGTGTTAGGAGTAAACAAAGTTAGGAGGCTGTGAGGTGATGAAGGTCGGACCAGGTGGTGGCAGTGAGAACAATAAGAAGAGCCAACAACATTTGCTGATGGTCTGAATGTGAGATTTGAAAGAAACAAGGGTCCAAGATGACTAATGTTTCTGGCCTGAGCAGCACCAAAGGGACAGAGCTGCTGTTTACTAGGAAGAGGAGGATGTAGGAGAAGTTTAGCATGCTTGAAAGTGTAGCAGGAACTGTGGCCACAGCAGCCACTGTCAACACCTATCACTCTTTGCTTCAGTGTTCCCTCTGGCTCCCAGAGTTGCTCTGCCTGAAGGAGAGGCAGGCTAGAAATTCTGAAGAATTAAACCTCCAAGAGCCACCTTCAAGTGATGACCAATGACAAATTCAGTGCAAAAACCCCCGTACCGCCTGGTCAATGTGGCTCAGTGGTTGAGCACTGACCCATGCACCAAGAGGTCACCAGTTCTATTCCCGGTCAGGGCACATGACCAGGTTGTGGGCCCGATCCCCTCCCTGACAGGTATTTCCTATAATCACCCCCTTGCATTTAAAACTACTTGCACTAAAAAAAATAAGAAGAAGAACCTATCATAAAAGGAAAAGCAATGTCACTTGCTATTAAACATAATAAATATAAATACAAAGTTATTAAAATCTAGCTAGATCCTACTACCTGCTAAAGGTTCTGAGCCTAAAGCTTGCTTTCCCCGTAGAAAAGGAAGATTGGCAGATGTTGAAAAGTACTACACTCTAGCTCCAAAATACTAGCTTCCTGCCCTCAGAGGATTCAAAGAAAATATTTTTAAAGCAGAAATCATTTTCCCACTCTGTGATTCTAGGTCATTAAATCCCCTAATTGGTGTACCACCTAAACCACATCCTAAGTAAGTGACATGCTGAGAAAGAAAACTTCAAGTCCCAAAAAGGCAAAAATTAACATACCAATCCCATGGGCTCCTAAACTGCTTAGTTCAATAAACTACACCTATGAATGCAGGTAGGGAACACTTCTACTCCTCGAGCACAGGCTTCACACTTCAGCAAGTCACCAAGTCAAAAAACATGGAGGAAAAAGAACCTAAAATGCCCTGTAGCTATTAAGTACAGCATGCCATCCAGGACAGAAACAGTGATTGCTGGTGCCTCTCAGGTGTTTTTCATGTGGCACCTTTTTTTTTTATCCTCACCCGAGGATATTTTTCCATTTTTTGTACAGATAGAGTGGGAGGGAGAGAGAGGAAGGGAGAGAGAGAGAAACATCGACGTGAAGGGACACATCGAGTGGCTGCCACCCGCACAACCAACCAGGGCCGGGGACAAACTGCAACCGAAGTACGTGCCCTTAGCGGGAACCGAACCCGGGTCTCTCCGGACCGCAGGCCGACGCTCTAACCGCTGAGCCAAACTGGCCAGGGCATGTGGCACTTTTTTTTAATGCTCTGAATTTCATGTCAAAGACTATTAAAGTTCTTCTCTTCCAAATCCCTTCTCCCCACCAAAGAAGCTACCTTCATTTAGAATTGACTCCAAAGAATACTATAATGGCATTATAACATAAATGATTAAGTCAAATTTAACAAGCTAAATTATGTCTTAAACATAATGACTTTTTAGATTAAATATAATTAATTACAACTAGACAATCTGACAGAATGGAAGAGAAAAAAGCTCTGGGTTTTCTATTTAACTCTGGCTAGGAAATGTGATATAAGAGAAGAATTATGATGTCTTGCTGCCTCAGTGTGCTCATCTAGCGAAAATAATCTAGTAAATCTGTGTGGTTCAAAACATTACCGCCTGGTAGAATGTTCTGCTTCCTCAAACATATGGGGATGACTGAAATCTTTCAAGTAATAGATAGAAGACCAAGTAATGGAAGCTGAAGACCAAGAACAAAGCCAACAGAAGGGTATTTTTTAAAAGCCTGCCTTTGGAAATAAAGAAAAGAAATAGAGTGGAAGAGGAGGATCAAAATCAGAACAAGGTAGTGGAGTATAATAAATAAATGGGGTTTTAATTTTTAATGTAAAAAAAACCCAGAAAATCCATTATTTATTTCTCTCAAAACTAAAATAACTTGATATTGGCAAAGGAGATAGTAATATTTACTTGTTCCTAAGTGAACTGTTCAGTGTTTTGTAAAAGTTAAATATTTATTCAAATACTTTATCCTTTTCCTTATTAGAATTCAAAGAATAAAAAATAAACCTGCACCACCTACTCAGGTATATTTTGATTTGCCAAAAGAATAGGGTAGCTGATGTTAAGTCCTAATGAAGCCTATTTGCTTCTAAAGTAGGCTAAAACCTTTTTTAAAGTTGCATGCTGGGTCTTTTTTACTGCTAAGAAGCCCATATATTTCTCAACTTGAGGAAATGTAACAGAATAGTAGAAACTTCCTTCATCACTGCTATCTTAAAAAATGGAAAACTAGCTGCAGTGGCCTACCCCCAACAGTGAAACTTACACTCTTTAGAATAGTTACTTGCACAACCATTATTCTACAACTACAATGTCACATTTGAGCCTGTGACATTGTTTCTGAAACATGTTATGATGACATATAAAACATATGATAGTATATATATGAAAAGATCAACAGCTATCAAGACATCCATTATGGCTTCAATTGCAACTAATCTAAAATTTCACAATATTCAAATAGAAAGCATCTGCTCAATTGAGATTACATAAGTGTAAACCACACTGACTGCATGCAGGTACGCCATAGTTTTAAAATTCTGTGACTTCCTGCAAGATTTTAAAACAAGTTACTTTTTCCATGGCATTAAAACCAGGAAAGTTTAGCTTTGAAATAGCACCATATGCAGGTGTGCTGAGGTGGAAACACCATTAAATGCGCTAATCTGTGCCCTGCAGGCCTCTGAGAAATTCGGGATTTGTAGACAGGATACAATGAGTGTGGGTTAGAGGCAGAGAGCAGGTGAGGTGGGAGGTGAAG